TGCATATCATCCCATGTGATGATTGATCCTGGTGCTAATTGTGTGTACCAGGTAAAAGGTGCTCCTTTTAAAGATTGCACAAATTGCCTTATTAATAAGGCATAAGACATTGCTGATTCACCACATGCAGAATAGAAATGGGTCAAATGTTCATGGGGAGACCCATTTATTCCATCAAACTTCTCAAAGCTGGGCTTTTGATATCCTGAAGGAAATGGGAGTGTATCATAATGGGCAGGATATGGTTTCTTGTAACCAAGGACAGGTGGTGTGAGAGATGCTTGGAATTCCTTTAATCCCTCTGCAATAAGTGTCTTTAGATCTGTTTGAGGAGCAGGAGAGGAAGTTGATGGTTGTTGAGACGACTCTCTAGCAGATGTGCTTGCTTGAGCCGCCAACTGAGCAGCCAAAGATGCAATTTCTGCATCCTTTTCTGCCATCTTTCGTTGCATCTCTTGAATTTGCTCTTCTAAATTTGAGGTACTAGTCACCATGACTGTCATAGGAGATGGCTCTTGGTCTTCTCCTATGGACATAGAAATTCCTTGTATTTGTGAAGTAATTTCATCCACAGATTCACCGGTCAAACTTGAACTCAGAACTTTGCAACAATTGAGCTCTTGCTCTAGTGATAGGGCCTTTATAAGGTTTAAGTTCTTCATTGGCCATAGTATATGCCCCCGGTGCAAAGTAAAAATTTGCTTGTTTAGCAAACATGTATCCAGAAATAAAAGCCCATTTTCTAGCTTCCATGTCTGATTTTGCTTTCTTTGATTTTTCTGCACCAAAATCAGCAAGGGAAATGGGAGTGCTACTTTGTAGCTTATTAGCTTTTGGAGGCCTCTTGGATCTAGGCTTACGAACAGGAATTGGGGATTGTTTTGAAGATCCTTCAATTCTAGTTGAAGGCTTTTGATTACAAATATTTTTTTTTCCACAAGAGGAAGAACCTTTTCCACTTAAATTTTCGAGTTTAATTACTCGGGGCTTCACTTGTGTAGATGAAGGAACATCTATTTCCTTTTCTCCTATAGTAGATTTCTCTTCAGAAATAGTCACCATCATGGCTGATGTTGTAGGAGGAATTGAAAGATTCACTGGAATGGTTCCTATCATGATTTGGGTAGGGTAAATAACCTTAGCCCTTGCTTTTGTGGACTTCTTTGGGGAAGTCACCATTGATTTTGTGATATTCAAGATTGACGAAACAATCTTTTTGGAGGAATTGGCCCTTGGTGGCTTGAAACCTTCCTTCCTGGCAGAGTTGAACATGGCTTGAACTTGTAGACTTTTCCTCACAGGAGAGGTCTTAGTGACCTTCCTTTTTTTCTCATTCTTGATTTTTTTCTCCACCTTGGTGACAGAAGACATAGTAACAACAGCAAGAGGTTTCACGTCCACCGTAAATGTTGCCTTGTGGGAAGGCTTCTTAGAGCCTCCTATCTTTTCCTTCTTCGTAGCAGTCAGTTTGTGGTAGTAGACAACCACTTTAGGTGCCATGTCTGAGATATTTCTTCCTGTAAGTAGATAATATTGATATAAGACTTGCACATTTTTTTTCTCTTTTGTTCTATTCTCTAAGTCAGAGATGAAAAGGAAAATGGGTCCCACCGGGCGTGCCAAAATTATGTTGGCGTGAAAATTTTAATAGATTCTCATGCAACATAATTCACTCAATCAAGTGATTGAGTTTTTATTATTTTGGGTAAGGCTCATTCAGGGAATCATACGGATTGTTTCCCTTAATTACATCCCCATAAGAAAGTAGAGAACACCTTTTGATTCTGACTTGGAGAAATGAGTGCATAGAACAAAAGAAAAGAACAATAGGATACTTAAAAAATAACTTTTCATTTGCTTTTCTTTTACATCAGGTGTACAAGAATGAGAAGAAAGAAGAAGAAAATACAATTGAGAAAATATACAGCAATACGTTTCTCTTTTCTTTAATAGAAAGAAAATTTCCTTCTCACTCCTTTCTTCATAACAAGTTGTAGTCAATCAGATGAAATTCACTCCTTGGAATTTTGCATACGGAAAGGGAACCGTAGTCAATCAAATTGAATATTTGATTGTAGATGATTTTCATCCCTCTGTTCTTCATTTTCATTTGAAGGGAACCATAATCAGCCTCTGAGATTTAGACTGTAGATGGTGTACTCCCTAACTTTGTCTTCAATAGGTTAGCTGCACTATGTTCTCAGCTCGTCGTGTAGATCTATACTCTCGGTTGTAAGCGTCTCCGCAGTTGGCCGTTTTTCTCGGCAAGACGTCAGGTAACATTGCCATGCCGCCCTTTGATCTCCATGGGCATTCCCACTCCATATGGGGTCGGGAACTTCATGGCCAGGTGGAAGGTAGACACAGAGGCTCACAGAGCATTCAAGGTCAGTCGGTCGAGGATGGTGTTGTAGGAAGACAAGCATTGGGCGATGGTAAAATCTACCATGGCTGTCGAAGTGATCTCACCATCTCCGATTAGTAGGGGCAGAGTGATCTGGCATAAGTGACTCCTCAGAGAAGCCCATCAGGGGAGTGCTGACCGGTGAGAGACGATCTCTGGTGATGCCGAGCTGATCAAAAGGCATCTTCAAACAGGACATCGGCTGAGCTCCCAGTATCTACTAGGATGCGCCGAACTTCGTAGTTTGCAATTTCGGCTGTGATGACCAGGGCATCATCTTGTGGGGTTTGGACATCTCCTGAGGTCGACTTCGGTGAATGTGACCGGTTCCTCTTGTCTCTTCTTCTGCTCCCTGTTGTCGATCTACATCTAGCGTGCGTACCTCTTCCGACCCGAGTTGCTCTCCCCTTCGGAAGCCATTCCTCCCGAGATCACTGCTATAACTCCGGCTGGGGAAGCTCGACCTAGGGACCTGGGGCACGGCTCCACCTTAGGGGGGTTGTCTTCTTTTATGTCGGTGAAGCCCGCTATGTAGCTGTGCCAAATTAGATCTTCGAGGTGGTGCTTGAGGTCGAGACAGTTGTTAGTCTCGTGGCCGTGGTCCTGATGAAATTTGCAGGACTTGTCACGATTTCTTTTGCTGGCTTGGGTTTTCATCTTTTCGGGCCACCGGACATACTTGCTGTCTCGGATCTGCATCAAGATTTCAGACCGTGGAGCAATTAGCGGCATGAAATTCTTGAAGGTCAGAGGTGGTGTGCACGACTTCCTCTCTGGTCGGCGGTCTTGTCGCTTGCTTTCTCGGTCCACCCTCTCTGTGTTTCGGTCCTTGGTGTCCCTTCTCTTGATCTCTTCTTGTCAGTTCGTTCCTCATCTCTTTGCTGTGCCTGGGCTTCCTTCGCGTTGATGTATTTCTGGGCATGGCTCATCAACGCGGCTAATGTCTGAGGAGGGTTCTTGGATATGGAGAAGTTGAACGGTGAAGGGCGGAGCTCGTGTTGTATGGCTGTGACAACCATAGATTGGTTTAGGTTCCGGACCTGCAGTGCTTCGGTGTTGAACCTCACCAGGTAGTCTCCTTTCCTCTGTCGCACCTGCATGAGGCTGGCCGAAGTCTTCTAGTGCTTCTGGCTTGCTGTGAATTGCGCCAGAAACTAGCTCTCCAGCTGCTCCCATGATGCTATGGAGCACGGGGGAAGGGACGAGTACCATGTCAGGGCTGGGCCTTTGAGGGTGGCCACGAGAACTTTGCACATCAAGCCCTTGGACGAACCGTGTAGCATCATCTGGGCCTTGAGTGCTTCGATGTGGTCGTCGGGATCTGTATTCCCGTCGTACTTGTCAAACTGTGGTGCCTGGCACCCTGCATGGGGAATCTCGTCCACGATCTCTTGGACGAAGGGTGGCTCCTTGACAGGCTGGCCAGTTGGTTGCATGGGCTGATCTACAGTTGGCGCCGCGCTCCTCTGGGCTTGGCTGTGCTGCAACTCGGTCAAGCATTGTCGAAGTTCTCGGATGTTTGCATCCCTATAATTTGGAGCTGCGGTGTGTGTAGCTTAACTCCAGACGCCATGTGGTGCCTACGTGGCCGCCCCAACTCCTCAGCCACGTTAGCACCACACCATGTTTGCGGCCTACCTTATCTCCTCGGCCACGTAAGCACCGTGTTACCTCTGCGGCCCCACTCCACCGTAGCCATGACGACTCCACGTCATGTGGATAGACACGACCATGATAGGAGAATAGATGGGACAACTCCGCTGTGGATTAGGTCTTATCCCGAAGGACTCGGCGGTTAACCTCATCCTGACAACCCTGGAAGCCTAATCCGATCAGGACATGGATCTTCGTCTATAAAAAGGTACCTCCCACTCAAGGTAAGGGATCAAACTTCTGACTCTCATACTGCTACCTTGCTCGGACCAGCACTGTTCTCCAACTGCTTGGCCCGACCACCTACAGTCTCCTATTGACTTGGGCGTCGGAGTACCTACCCGGGGACAACTCCTCGGGCCTTTGACTTGTTTCTTGCTCGCAGATCTCGTTGCGCGGCTTCGTCCTTCCACCTCGGCTCCGCCTAGTTGGCAAGGATTATCTGACTATGACCTCGGTTCTTGCACTACCTAGGATCGGGCAGCATCAAATGCGAACATCAAAAAAGCAATATAAATGGATGATCTAAATTATTGATGCATATAAATCCTTCCTTATATACATAAATGCACCTATCTTATGTTTGTACATATGAATGTCGGCATGCCTGGCTTAGAGAATAACATATGTACAACTTGTATACTGGTATGAACAAATAAGAGGACATTATTGTCCATTCCTACACTGTAAATAATTATTGTTCAAAGCTTTAGGAAGTATAACAGTTGATGATAATTTTTGGATTGACATATGTGATATTGTTGAACCTTGTGACCTTGCTGGTTCTATAATCATTGCAGTGGCTACCATGCAAAGACATTAAATGTTCACTTTCATTTTAGACATCATTAATATTTAAAATGGTTTATTGTGATTCATTTGGAATAATTGTCATATGAACAGAATTAAGATTTTGGTTTAATGTTATTTTTTCTTACACCAGATTACGCAGATAAATATATGGCTCAGATTGCACCTGATTCTGAAGCTGTGGATAAAGATATGAATAAGCTTTCTGTTGGAAATGAAAATGGATTTCTATGGGATGTTGCAAGTCCTGAGTTGGAGGAAATGCCCAAAGAAGAGAATTTACCTGATGCCAGCAGTTCTGAGGTGGGGGTCGCAGATGATGTCACAGATAATTGATTTAATTTTCAAAGTGCAAAACATGTAGGCATGCTTGGATAAGAGTAGGAGTTGAAAAGTTCCCTGATGGAAGGAAATCCATTTCTGGAGTGAAGTTACTCCCTTTTTGTGGGTTGTCTTTTTGCAGCAAGATGTCAGAGAAAAAATGGCTATGAATTTGTTCATTCCCTAGCCAAGCAAGGAACATCCTGTTCTGTGGGGTATATTATCATTTTGTGGGTAGGTGTTATGAATTTTTCTTCTAGCTCTTATCCAAGCAGCCTCTTAATGGTGTCTTCTTTACCTATTTATTTAATTTTCTTTCCCTTTTACTACTTATGACTAAATTTAGATAGCCTAAAAGTCAATTGGTTTTTTGTTATCATTTAAGAACTTTTTTTTTTGATAATCATTAGCAATAGAGTTTATCAAAAAAAAAAAAAAAACAACGAAAATCATTAGTCATTAGCAATAGAAATTTATTAACATGTAGCTGACCCCCCTTTTAATACACCAAAGACCAAACAATTACAACTTCATCCTTCACCCTGCTTAACACTATCTCTAGTAACACTTAATATAACTAAAGAATCTGCCAAGGAATTTGCTGTTACTTGGCAGTCTCTTCAACCTGCAAGCCTGTCCAGCATTCTGTTGAAGCTTGGTTTAGTCCCCGTGGTAGAGTTAAACGGCTCTTCTCTTAGAGGTAAAAGCCCCAACAGGTCCAGAGAATAAATTCATCCTTCTTTTACCTGCTGATGATCCAATAGTTGAAATGGTCTCTCAGCGTCCCTCCAATAATTGAGGTACTGGGCCGAGATTTCTGCATGAATCAGGTGAAAGCAACAAAGCCTTGGAAAAATCTCTTCTATTTTTATTCTTTTATCACCTTTATTAGATATAAAGTGGGAAATGGACTGAAAATCAAAATTTCTACCGACCTTTGGTGGAGTGAAAATACCTTAGCTAACATTTATCCTTGTTTTATTTAACCTTTCTCAATCCCATGAAGCTACTGTTGCCTCATGTGTTCAAACTTCACCTCTTGAAACCAACCGGAACCTAAACTTTAGAAGACCCTTATGAGATGTAGAGATTGCTGAAACTGCAGACCTCCTACATTTTATAAGAGAGGTCTACATTTCCTTTCTGGCAAATTCTCAACTAAATCTATAGATAAAAAAAAAGTTCCCAAATCTTTTACAGGGTGACAGGGCCCTAGTGCTGGGAGTTATTAATACAAGCTTTCTGTATAGGAGGATCTGGGGCTCTTATTATTCCTCCTAGAGTTTTTTGGGTGTATGTGTGTGTGTGGGAGGCCTATTTGAAAAATAAATCAACACCTGTGACTTGATAACAAAAGCAGTTTGTGCATCTCTCCTCATGCTTGCGCTCTTTGTTTTAGTGATGGTGAAACTGCCCAGAAGCAAGGAAGATTTGGTTTCACTTTCTCAACCTTGTTGGATACAGCTGGGTTGTTCCTGAACATATTGACAATTTTCTTTGGCAATGGCATGGTAAAGGTCTTGGTAGTAGGGGGAAAATCTACTGGTGTACGATAGCCCAAGCAGTGCTGTGTTGTGTGTCAGAAGAAGAAACAATTGTATATTTGAAAACAGATCTACATCCTTTGAAGAATTGCTCTCTTGCATATCTTTTATAAGTAACTTGTGGGCAGTTAATTCTGTGGAGTTAAAAGAAATTTCTTTGAGCGACTTACAAAGGAATATTAGTGGAGATTCTTTATTCATCTCTTGGATCTATAAGTAGGTCTTGAGTGCCCTTCTGCAAGATGAGGGATGGAGATTAGTTTAAATTCTGATCGAAGTGCCCTAGGTCATCCTGGAGCATGGGGATTGGTGGTGTATTTAGGAAAAGGGATGGAAGCATCTGGTGGGCTTTCAGTGGTCCAATTAGGGTTGCTGATTCTACAAGAGCAGAGATTCTAACTGCACTTACAGGAGATAAGGGCTGGTCTACTCTAACCATTGAAGGTGATTCTGCAAATACTTTAAAATGGTTAGTGGAGAAGGATGGAGGCCCTGGAGGCTAGCTTACTACCTGACAGAGGCCAGAGATATTATGGATTCTTTGCTTGTAAGACTTAATTGGATCTCTAGAGAGCTAGACCCTATGACTGGTTGTTTGGCCAAATCGGGTACCCACAGTAAAACTTTGTATAGTGATAGAAATCCCTATGTAACTTCCGAGTGTTGGCTTTCTCTCTGCTGCTTGCACATCATCTCATGTACTTTTTGAATCTATATAATAAATTTCGGCGGCCATGTCTGCATGTCTCTCATTTCAGAGAAGCTATTTATCTATTTTCTCAATTTTTTGCATTTTTCTTATTTTATTTTGGGTTTTCCAAGGCCTCTTATTTTAATGCATGTTATTGTCACATTTAACAGAGACATTTAAGAGAGAGAGAGAGAGAGAGAGAGAGAGAGTAGTAATAATAGTTACTGTATTGTAAAATTACAGTATTAATAATAATTATAATATTTTTATTAATTAAAAGTATTAACCATATTTGTTAAAAATAATGTATTTATTAATAACAATATTTTTAATAATTCTAGTATTTTAAAATAATTATCTATATTTATTCAAAAACAGTATTAAATAATGTATTTATTAATTAATATAATGTAAGTAATAATTTATTGAAAAAACAGTATTAACTATTACAGTATTTATTAATTAACAATAATTAAATATTTATAGTGTTTTATTAATTAACATTATTAACTGTACTTTTAATTAATACAGTATTTTTAAAATTATAGTATTATTAATTAATTAAAAGTATTTAGTAAAATTTTTAATTTATTAATTAACAGTTTTTTAATTAATATAGAACTTTTAATAATTACAACATTTTTAATAATTACAGTATTTTAATTAATTAGCATTATTTATTAAAAATAATGTATTTTTAGTAACAGTATTTTTAATAATTAAAGTATTATTAATTAACCATATTTTACAGTATTTTCAATAAATGCAGTATTCTTAATTACAATATTTATTGATTAACAGTGTTTATTAAATACTGTTTTCAAAAATATTGTTAATTCATTAATTAGCAGTTTTTTAAATTGTTAATTAATGTAAGTTATAATTTAATTTTTATTTTAAAAATTATTTATTTATATTTAAAACTGTAAGAAATATAATTAAATTTTAAACTTTAATTAAAATAATTATATTTAAATATAATTAAGCTATAAATAGAGGAAAATTACATTTAATGAACAAAAATTAGCCAAGAAAATAACAAAAAAATATAACCATTAAAATTACTTTTTGAGGGAAGCTATTTATCTACTTTCTCAATTTTTTTTTTTGCATTTTTCCTATTTTCTTTCGTTTTAAAAATATAAAAAAGTAATCATTGCTTATCTCTATTAGATTAATAAAGCTGCACACTTTTAGAGAGAGAGAGACCTTTGGGTTTTCCAAGGCCCCTTAATGCATGTTATTATTACATTTAAGAAAGACATTTGAGAGAGAGAGAGAGAGAGAGAGAGAGAGAGAGAGGGCTGTTGAAAATGTCAAAACTACTCTTGAAAAGAAGACACTGTTTATTGTCTTCTACCTTGAGACTGAACCGGTTGAGGTGTTTGAGATTCTAAACTCAGCTAAAATCTCTTAGAAAGGAGTCAGAACCGGAGAAGACAAAGGCAACGGTTGTTCCATTTTACCCAGTTCCTGGCTATCAGTACCAATGACCATGCAGCATTTACTACTATCCTCCACCTCCTCTGCTACCACGACCTGCACTATGTTTTCCCACTTGCGCAAACTGTACCATTGCTGCAGAGAACCAGGTTAGGATTCTATCTTGGTCTAATCCTTTTGAGTAAATAATTTCATCGGCGCCATTGTTGTTTTCGGAATTCCAGAGTAAATTTTAATAAATGTTCTTATTTTCCATTTTTGGTCTTGGATCAGAGTTGAGAAAGCAGACTGGTTTCTGGGGAGGAAAGAAACTGGAAATCTGGGCATTGATTCTTTGGGTGAAAGCTTAATTAATGGAAACTATTTGGGGAAGAGGAAGATTTTTGTGGGTATAATCACAAGAAATCTTGTTGGGAAGTGGGGATTCAAGAATAAACAAAGAGAACATGAAGTTGAGATTTTTGAGAGGATTAGATTTAATAAATAAATGAGAATTTGTTTTTAATATTACAGAGTTGAAGCAATGGGAGAAGAGGTAGGAAGCCATGTTTGCATGAGAAGAAAAGGAAGAAAGCAACAGATAACGAGGTTGTTGTCCCCTGGCTTGAAGGAAGTGATGATCGGTTTCTTGAAGTGATGGCGATGGACAAAGCTTGGAAGTGAGGAAAAAAAGGAGATTGATGGTTATATGGGTTGTGAGGAAAAGAAACATCTCTCTGTTATAAGTAATGGAAGAGAGACAGAGAGCTCTCAGACTCACCTCTCGGAAAACTGATCCACCTCCAATGGTGGTCTCCAACCCCGAAGACCTCTCAGACCAAGGTGGAAGTTTGGGTGGAGCATTCTCAACCCTTTAAGTGTTCGAGAGAAGCAGAGAATCAGAGGAAAACTGAAAAAACATCTTTATTTCTGTGAATCCTCTTCTAAATCTGGAACTTGAGGAGTCAGTTTAGATCAAACTGTGCTGCTGCAGTCCTGAAGTATGCTTGCCAATTTTTAATTTCTATTTTAACTTAAAATTCTTGCGGACGTGACATTGGTCTTGGTCCCCTGACAACATGAAAACAAAATCACTTGCATGTTGCTCCGGCTAGAGACTTCAAATTGACAATAAGCAGTGTTCATTGTCCTCGAATTTTAAAACAAGACACTATTCTCTCTCAAGGTAGAAGACAATGAACAGTGTATTCTTTAGAAGGGTAGTTTTGACATTTTCAATATATGACTGATGGTCAGTTAACGGCAGGGACCAACTTGACACTTTTTAAAAGTTTAGGTACTGTAGTGACATGTTTGAAAGTTCG